GGGGGGGGGGGGGGGGGGGGGGGGGGGGGGGGGGGGGGGGGGGGGGGGGGGGGGGGGGGGGGGGGGGGGGGGGTACTCATGTTTTGCATGCCTTTGAGGTTAGACCATTGACCATGTGTCCTCGAGAGGACGACGCAGAAGGGGTGGGCGTTGGGGGCTAGATAACACGCCGGATGAAATCGAAATAGAGGGATCCTCGATTGTTTCTCGCCTGTTAACTCTTTTGGGTCTGTCTACAGGCGTCCTGACAGATCATTAATTGATCGATCATTCCTAAGTGATGGTGTTGTGGCATGCCATGGAGTTGCCGCCCTGTATCCCTCCACGCCAGGTGTTGGCAAGTCAATAGGTAGGTGTGTCTTTATTATTCGCATCGACCGCACTCCCCGGTGGCCAATGAAAAGACGTTAGTGCCAACGGGAAATATCAAGGTCCCTGGAACGGCCAAAATTATTGGAAAAATGCACACTGCTCTAAATGCGAATAATACCACCATGAATCTCTCCCCATATCCTTTCACAGAGACACACATCAATAGCTCCACATATACATGCCCTCGCCCGAATCTAGGAAGCCACTAAAGCAAAGACAGGAGGACAGCGACAAGGGGCACTTCAAGCCCAAACAGGCCAGGATATCGTGGTATGCTGCATATCCTCCAAACTCGAAAATCGTACACTCCCAAGATCCAGCACAGTCATCATGTCAGCGGCTATTCTACACAGCAGCAGCCGAATAGGCGAGTCCAACATTTACAGCAGAGTAGGTAGTAACACATACACTATCAGCATAGCCCCACACATACCCTCGCCCGAACCTAGAGAGCCACTAATGCCAAAGTAGGTGTGTGCTGTTTTGTGCTTGCGTGCTTGTGGGAATTGTGGGAAAATCACAGGAGCTGTAGTGAGCCGGCAGGGCTCACATTGGGGAGGAGACAGACAAGTACAGAAGTACAAGAACCAGCTATGGGTCTACAAGCCCTCCCACTGATCATTTTCACTGACCATTTGAATATACTGAAAATAGAGTAGTTCAGGCGGCTTGACGACTGATCTTTTCGAGGTCTAAAAGCCAAACCGGCCCTACCGGCCGCACCGTTACCACACATCAACCCTTTTATGACCCTGCATGCGCCCACCGTCCTGTCGCAGGCAGCCCTCATGGCCTATGGGTGGAGATAGCTGTTGCGTCTTCAGAAATACACTCGTCTTCTCTCTGCTGTACTTCTGTCTCTCCCCGCACTCTCTCCTCCCTTTTTATTTTTTGCCGCAAAAAAGTAGGAGGTAGACCCAAAGGGGTTGAGGCCACTGAGCACGCGTTATTTGGAGAACGCCTCCGGGGTTTGGGCGTTCTTGGCGCTACCGTGTATGTAATGAGGACCATACAGTTGAGGCCCGCACCGAAGAACCTCCTACTTTGAGCGAGGCTCAGTTCTTATTGGCTGCCCCAACCCGAGCACGTGTTCCTATTGGCCATGTTCTTATTTCGCCGCCCCATTTTTTTCCAGCGAAATGTTCTTGTTCTTATTTCAGCACCAATTGACCCTGTTGGCGTACGTTGTATGACGACGTGCTTCGTTGGCGGCTGTTAACTGCACTCGGCGGAGTGTTTATAGTGTTTAGCATGAGGAACAATGCTGTTGCTTGGTACAAGAACACACCAAGGCATGCAGCAGCAACTGTCAACCATCTTGGTCCACAAGGGTGACGTTGGTCCTGCGTACCCTCTCCGATCTACTAACGCTCTCAAGCAAAACCCAGGAGCCTACCGCCGCATCCAGATCTCCGGTGTACTTGTCTAAGGGCAGCTTCATCTTGCGCGTACTCTGGTCTAGCTCCAGCTGCACACAGTAGTCGTACAGGTGGCGAGTGTCCTGCTGAGATTGCTGAATGATCAACCCTCCAAACCACCCCATCCCCAGCCTAACGAGCACTCCACGTCGCAAAAGCAATCTGTCAAGAGCAACGGGTTTAACTTCTTGAATGCGAAAGCCTGTCGGGATCTCCATTCCTTGTGTCTCGTCCTCCGGGTCTTGTGGGTCCATGCTGTCGTCGTCGTCGAGACGAGCTAGCTCATCGGTCTGGGTTTGAGCCGTGCCTGCGAACGGGGCACCGTGAAACATCACAACAAGTACCGTGTCACGGCCGAAACTCAACATGAACCCATCATATTTGCTCGTAGTCGTGAACGCGGAAACAGCACATCAGCAAAATTCAAGCAAATATCAACATGGACATCGTCATGAACAAGGAAATGACAAAAATTGGGTCTAGTGCAAATCAAACTTACCGTCGTCGTCTTCATCATCGCTGAAATCAGCGCCCTCCACGATCGTCTCATGTCCATCGCCCTCCTTCGCCCCGGCTCATCGCTGCCGTTCTCCAAACCTTCTTCGTCCTCGCTACAATCTTCATCGTTTGCGAAGGTGTACGACTTGTCCAAACCCTCCAAGGTGATCCGATCATCGCCTGAGCCGTCCACAGTCATGGCCATCCCGCACTTTTCGAAAGGGTGGAATCGGAACGCCTGTTGGCTGTTGAGTCTTGCCATGGCCGCTCCAATCCACTGAGTGATCGGTACCCGCCGATCAGAAGTTGTCAGCGCCGCGGTTTCCCACCTCTCGAGGTTGTCCGACTGCTCGAGCCACATGTCCATCTGCCTCCCAGCTTCCACCTTGATAAATCGTCCGGCTCCTGCATCAACTGGCTGCACCTCGTCCGTGCACTCCGGAGGGCCATACCAGGCGAGAGTGTTGCATTCCTCCGCAAGATACTCCTTGAACTCGTCCGTCGTCTGCTNAGGGGATTCAACGAGCCATGTGACGTATCAGTCGCTCTTAGTTGTGGCGCTGTTGAATTCAAACTTCCGTGGATGCCGCTGGCAAAAGTATCTATGCACTCTGAACGAATACTTCCTTAAAAAGTCTATCGTGAATCACACGAGAGAGTGGGGAGATGACGTCTGTTTCGTTTGGGTCACATTAGACTAATAAACTTACCTATGTTTTTTTTCATTTTTTCTCTTGCTTAGACTTTCGGGAATCAAAGAACAAAAAAACACCTGTGTAGCAAAACAAAGCAACAGCATGCGTTNGCAAGGTCTTCTCACCCGGACCAAAGATGACTTGCATGGTGCACTGCCTTTTCTCTAGGCCAGGAAAGGGCGGTGAGATGGCGACACGCNGGCAAAAGTATCTATGCACTCTGAACGAATACTTCCTTAAAAAGTCTATCGTGAATCACACGAGAGAGTGGGGAGATGACGTCTGTTTCGTTTGGGTCACATTAGACTAATAAACTTACCTATGTTTTTTTTCATTTTTTCTCTTGCTTAGACTTTCGGGAATCAAAGAACAAAAAAACACCTGTGTAGCAAAACAAAGCAACAGCATGCGTTGGATACATATGTAACCGAGCTCACCGGTTGTCCGCTGCCAATCGAGAACGCGTTCCAGATGTTGCCGCCTAAGATGCCTTTCGCAGCTCTCTCCCTGAAGTACTTCCCTCGATCCACCTTCCTCCTCGCGGTACCCGCTGCAGCAGCAGGTGGGTGCTGAGAAGGTGCAGCAGCACCTCGTGCGCTGCTGGCATCTTGTTGGGATAACAAGGACAGGCGGGTGCTGCTGGTAATGCCCTGGATTCCACTATCACTCTGCGCGATCCACTCTCCTTCGTCGAAGATACCGTTCTGCTTCAACCCCCACGTGCTCTCGATGGCGTCCCACCGCTCCTACTNTTTCATTTTTTCTCTTGCTTAGACTTTCGGGAATCAAAGAACAAAAAAACACCTGTGTAGCAAAACAAAGCAACAGCATGCGTTGGATACATATGTAACCGAGCTCACCGGTTGTCCGCTGCCAATCGAGAACGCGTTCCAGATGTTGCCGCCTAAGATGCCTTTCGCAGCTCTCTCCCTGAAGTACTTCCCTCGATCCACCTTCCTCCTCGCGGTACCCGCTGCAGCAGCAGGTGGGTGCTGAGAAGGTGCAGCAGCACCTCGTGCGCTGCTGGCATCTTGTTGGGATAACAAGGACAGGCGGGTGCTGCTGGTAATGCCCTGGATTCCACTATCACTCTGCGCGATCCACTCTCCTTCGTCGAAGATACCGTTCTGCTTCAACCCCCACGTGCTCTCGATGGCGTCCCACCGCTCCTACTCAACGGAGTTTCCCGCCTTCACATGTGTTTTTATCGTCTCGAAGTGACGGTCAAGAATCAGACCCCGTCCTTTCAACTCTGCAAGTTTGCCAAGATCTTTCAACAACCCATGGGATAAGGGATTGGACAGGGACACCCCTCTACGGCAGGCAACTCGTGGCCCGCTGCACGTCCGTGGCCTGGCAGCCGCCAAGGGGGCGCGACGTGTACAGTGCCCACCCTCTCCTCTGCAAATATTGCAGATTCCGAGGTGTATGTATGCACCCACCTTCGGCACACCTACCCCCCTGCCAAATCCAATACTTGGATTCCCCCCCCGCCCGTCCCCCCCTCCCCGTTCGAATGTTATTATCTCGCAGCTGCTGAATGTGCTCTTGTTCTTATTGTTAGCACCAGTAGTACACCTCAGGCGTGCGTTCTTTTTCTTAACTGCTGGTGCAATCTGAGCACGTGTTCTTACCGGCAAATTCTTAATTTTTGTTTTTTTTTAGCACCATATTCTTAAGTGTCATATTCTCAAGTGCGGGCCTCATCTGTAGTCCGTTAGTTCTGTCGCCGCCTACACCACCCTGAAACCGCTGGTCGAAATCGAGGAAAAATATATGGAATAAGCTTTGTGGTTCAGTTTTCGCGTGGCCTGTAAACACCATTGGATCATTGGCCACATTGCTTACAACGCTGGGCCTGGCGTGGGAACATACCAAAGCCGAGGCGGGTTAGGTCGACGACGGGGGGGGGGGAGCCTGGTAGGTAGGAGAGGGGGCGGATAGGATGCGCGCACACATTCCATGCGAATCTGTGATGGCTCATCGATCATGAAGCATGCCCCGCTAAAAAGTAGGAAAGTTCGCCATGCGTATCAAAAAGAGAAATTGAGGCTACAGCACAGGGGAAGGTTCGCCTCGCAAGGTCAAGTTTGAGTACTGCTGTACAGCGGTAGTACGCCGAAGCTACAAAAGACTTGCTGAATGAATACTGCACGAGGTCTCTCTCTGATGAGTACAGCAGTAGTCTTGGAGTTACAGCAGCAGTGGCCGAGCTCTGCGACTTTTCACGAAACGGCAGTCACGCGCCACCCAGAGGGAGGCCATATTAGTGCAAGCGTCTTCACGTCGTTTGCTTTCGACATTTATCAGTAGGCGACTTATTTACCAGCAGCTAGGCGGAACAAACCGCTTTCGCAAGCACCGTATTCCCCCGCACTTTTGGGCAGAGAAATCAAGATGTTCTACATGTATTCCAAGTTTCTCACCAGAATCAACTCGAACGCGTTGTACCCGGCGTCTTCCCGGGGGGGGGGCGTTCCGACACGCATAGGGATCTCATCGCACCCTGAACCAGATTCCCGGTAGAGGACTGTGATGGGCATCTGTCGCGCCATCACGAAAGGATGGTGAAAAGTGTGTTACAAACCGGCAGTGGTTTACCTCTCTGACAGCAGACTGAGGCCGCTGGAATGTCAGAGGAAGCATGCCTCTTTGCATTGTGTGCGTTTTCGGGGATGGTAAGAGTACCACCCGCGCCGCCCGCCGAGCTCCCGCAGCGCTGCCTGTGATGACCACAACAGAGCCATGGCCATCAAGGTAGACGACGAGGAAGGCGTCGAGCTCGCAGAGTTATCCCTGGTGAGACACAGCAATGCAGCTCGCTCGTGCTCTCTTTCGATTGAATGGGATCGTATCCTCGTACAAAGTGTACGAGGTGTTCTTGCCCTCTCCCTCGTCTCCTCTAGCTGCGGCTTTTGTACACGCCGAGCGCTACTGCTGTAGCTGTTAGGTACCGACCACGCCCCCATCTGACAATACTTAAGCTGGCAGGGGAATTCCGTGACATGGCTAGCTGTGTCGGCTGCTGCATGGTAACACCTGTCGGGATGTGCACGACGACCACAAACCTACGTGCAAATATTGCGTTTTCGCGCATGTGAGTTGTTCCGCATCCAATTGTGTTTTTGTTTTGTTTTTTTTCTCCCATCATTGGACTCTGTCGTCTGCCCCTCTGGCCCCTATCCTCCACTTCTACTAGCTAGAAGACCCAACCGGGGTCACATCGGAGAGGCCTGGACCCCCTCCTGCGGTTCCTGCCTGAGGTATTTTTATCGCGAGAAGGGTACAGCAATCTCTTCCCTCGCGACTTACGAAGTCGATTATGGTTCACCAACAACGTGCTTCGCGGCGCGTCGCTTTCATCCTAGACCAGGATTTATTTAGTGAGAAAAAAACTCTCTCTGCCGGGACTCGGACCCATGACCTGGCCCTTACCAGGCTGCGAGTTTACCCACTAGATCACCGGGGCGACCGGTGTGTCTCTGCCGGACCTGCTCTAAGACCAATCTCAAAGGTCTTTGCCCCAATTTTTTCCAGAGAGAATGTCAGTGCCAAACTGCACGTATTCTGAATACTATCGGCAGTGTTTTTTTCATCATCGCCATGTGCCAACGCCGGCAACTCTTCGCCTGTGGAGCTACCGTTCTTGGGGGGCTGATTTTCACCGTCACACACGGGGGTAACACAACTCAAAACAACTCAACCGTGCGCTGGGCGCCGCTAGGATATTCCACGGCACTTCCTGACGTTAATGACGTCTTCCATTGTCTGCGTTGTCGGGAAAACAAACGGTAGCTTGTCTCCTGAACGCGCCAGTACAATGCACGGGTTTGGTGGCGTTGTATGCCAGCCAGCAGTCTCACACCGACCCGGTGGTGCTGCCATGCCTGGCTTGAGATGGTTGAGTTTTCTGTCGGCCATGTACGACGGCAAGAGTCAAGCGCAATCGCCCTCATCTCACGACGCCCTGTAACGCACTTCCCACACATGCGTTGACCCCCTCCCCCCTCAGAACGACGACAGACATAGCGATGGTGGGGAGGAAAGACGTGGACAAGGAGGGGGAGAGGGAGAAGAAGACCAGGCCCCTTTGCTGGCAGCCGACGATGATGTTCGAGCCAAGAGGAGAGCCAGACGGGCAAGGAAGCGGTGAGTTTCCAAACACGAAGACGAGGTACAGTAGTTGTGTGACGCCAGAAAGAGAGAGGGAGAGAGAAAGAGCGCGCGAGAGAGAGAGAGGCACAGACAGACCGACAAGGCGAGTCAGGCTTGCCGCCCCCGCCACCCTGTTCACTTCCTGCATCAGGAACGCTGGTGTCTCAACAGCTGAACAAAATGCTTTGCATGTATGTAGACAGAAATAAAGCGGGTTCTAGGATGTGGCAGCTTAGACTCGAGCCAGGCAGCATGGCGAGTTGTCTCAGAAAGGAATCATTTGCAATTGTTTTCCTCCTTTTTTGGTTGCTTTCCTGCTCTGTGACGATTGGCGCGTTCATTCGCAAGACAACATCCAAGCGAGCTTGCCGCGCGGCAGATGCGTGAACGTACCAGCAGCTTTGGTGGTCTGAATTTCCGACCCCGCAACACCCTCTCTCCCCAGGGGTAACTGGTATCACTGCTTGGTTCGTCCGAAAACAGCAAAAACAGCAGCAGCATAGCAACGTTCGATTTCCGCCCAATGATTGAGGTACACACGTTTGACGTATGTCACCTCAAGCATCTCCTATTTTGGTGCTGTGCCAGCAAGTTGCTTTCGCACTGGGCTTGTTCCCCCCCCCCCCCCCCCCCCCC